ACTTTAGGAGGAAGCTCCTTGTCGACGCATGACCAAAAGAATTCAAATTCAGCTTCTACATACCTCTCAGTTTTGCACATGAACACCGTGAAATTTAAGACTTTTGGCATTGTGCTAGCCGGAGAGTTAAACTTCTTAGGAAGCTAATGCGTACTGTAATTTTACTATACTATCTGCTAACGGAGAGAGCGATGGAACTGAAGAATGCTTGACGTATCTCTTCACGATCATATAAGCAATCAGACCCTCCATCAGATGAGCGGCGTTTAAGATGTCATTGTGTCCACGCGAGAATGTAAGATCCGACAGACAGGACATGCTGCTCGATTTGCCCACAGTAGGTGCACATTGCGTGTTAATGAGTAATCCCGTCGGAAAAATAGATGGCCGCTTGGACAACCCTAAAGAGGGCGCACATACATAAAGGCGATGCGTACTAACTGAAAGTATGCAACCCAGAATTGAAGGGCCTGGCATACCTGCTTCGGATACCTGCATTAATAGCCCGAGCGATCTTGGTATTCTTGGTGTTTTTTTCTCACTTATATACTCATAAAAATAAATTGATGATTGATGCCCCTCCACATCTCGTTTACGGGCGTGTGAAATTTGACGTAATTCTGCAACCAGAGCTGTTAGATCGCAAAAGTTTTTTAAGCATGGCGCACAGTTGTATTTGGGCAGGTACACTTTAAAAGAACTTTCACGTTTCCTCCACATTTCATTTATAAACACGTGCCATTTGACGTTAACAGCCCGGCGGTTCCGTAACCAGAGCAGCTAGATTGTTCAGTTTTCTGAGCACAACTTACGATCATATTTATTGGGAATTTGTGACAGCGTGGTTGGCCAATTCGTTTAGCTAAAAGTATCTGCCGGTGAAGCAGTACTACTTAGAGGGGAATGTCTGAAAGGAAAACTGCGCAAAAAACGCATATTGCACCGGGTAACCCCGATGCTTCGCCGCCTAGGTTTAGTCTTATAATAATTTCCTCTAAAATTTATTAGTTGCCTAATATAATCGCCCTAGGTATCTTCCTAGTTAACTGAAGTGTCATTCGAAATTTCTTGCCGCATAACTTCAGTATCTCCTGTAGATGATCGTTGCTATAAAAAAGCTTGGTAGGGTAGATAGCGTATGGGTTGAGAACCACTCAAAAGGTTGAGGAAATGCGGTAGATCTTGCATTTTTGCCTGTCAAAACGAAAAAAAAGGAGGAGAGGCATTTCTTGGATTTATCAGGAAGCGGAAGAGTAGGTGGCGCAGCTCATGTAATAATAACCGTGCAGCGATGATGACATTGTCATTTATTCTCAAACCATGACTGTTGAGAGCATCAGTATGGCGCGCTAAGTAATGTACATAGATCGAAACCCCGTAGTTTATACTGCTAGCAGCATCAGTATTCGTTGAAATCTTATCATTTTGTGATATCGTATAAACCGAGCTCAGTTTAGCCCTTGCCCTTTCTTTTTCTCCTTTCTTTTCCTCATTAGGCACTGCAACTGTCATACTGACGAGGTCCAGTCATGGTACCGAGTTAAGACATATGTGACTTAATGGACCGAAACGCCTTACCTCGCTCTGGTCTTCTCCTCTGATACTGCTCTCTCTTTCCGTGTTCTGTCGCAACTTCGCCATTTACACATTTCCAGGGTCAACCTGAATGCTACACTCGGCTTAGTTTAATTTTATGTCTTATTGAATTGCATGCAATTTGCCTCAACCTTCACCCACATGCTTGGTTCAGATGTGTTTAACTTAACCTGCGCCATTCCATCTATGCATCCCGCAGCTTCCGCTATTGTTTGGACCAATCCTGCATTGACTCGTGTTCGGCCCACTGGCATTCTTAATATTCACGCACATATACATGTATGGCTAAAAGACTCAAAGTTTGTACAAGTGACAGAAATACCGAGACCACTCTTACAGAGGAGTATCCAATGTTAGTGATGTTACTGGGACGCTCCCACACGCCGGTTGCAGCTTTGCCAGGCCCTTTGGTCCTGAGCTGCATCCCTCCAGTTAGTATCCACCGCCTGTTCGATGTATGTGCGATAGCTTCTCGGAAGCGCGCAAGTGGTCATTTACTTTCTCGTGGGTACCACTTAACAGTGCTTGACTTCCACCGGTTGTCAGCTCTACAGATCTATGTATTGAGCATTCTAGCTTTTACATGTACTCTTGTGTTTTTTTCTTACAAAAAAGTCGAGATTTGTGTGATTTCTTTTTCTTTTTTTTAGTGAAAAATGTGAGGAAAAAATTTACAGAAGCAGAAAAACATCGCCTGGAATTGCAAGAAGTGGTAGCGACTGAGAAACTATGGAAAACTGTAGCGAAAAATAAAATTGTCAATTGTAAGATGTCTTCCTTATTCTTTTTTTTTAACTTTTTCATAAATTCTGCTCGAAAAATTAATTCCCTGTGGTGCAGCACAAAATGTATATTGTCGAAATCCTGCCTCTCTCTCCCCGTCTGTATCTGTGTGTTCGGGCATCTGTCCGTTTTTTTTTTTTTTTTTTTAATGCAACAACTTGGGAAACGAGGAGGCTGATGTTCTTGCGCATGTGCGATCACGGAAAGCTAAATCCACCGTCCACACATTTCTGCTTTTCACATACGGGCACGTAAAATTGGGGTGGGAAATCAAGTACCGCGTAGGCAGCAGAAGCAGTAAATGACCGCTGTCCAGGTGACACGTCTGGACTTATGACTTATGATTTGTTATGCGTTTTTTTCTTGCGTTTGTGCAACGCAAAAACGCATATTGTTGAGGGGTTGTGTCCGTGTGTCACGCGCTTTCGTCGCAGGACCTATAAAAGCTGCAGGGCTGAAATTTCGAGAACTTAGTCCACATGCACGTTCCCGCCCCAATCCCCAAAATGGGCTCCATCACCAGCGTGGTACCCGCGTACGGGCTTGCCAAAATTTTTTTTGAGGTATGTTCACAACTCGGGGATCTTAGAAGCTAGAACGCTGAAGTCGTAGGGTGATGTTCCCTGTCCAAGTGGGTATTAACGAGTTCAAACTCTGTCCGCGGGTAAGCATGGTACCTACTTACGGGCCCGTGAAAGTTTCTTCCGGATAAGTTGCTAACTCGAGAACGTGAGAAGCTAGAAGACTGGAATTTTGAGGAGACGTTTCCTGGCAGTTCTGGCGGCCGGTCTACAATTCTTTTAGCTAGAAGTATCTGCCGGAAAAACAAGTGCCGTTAGCGACAAAAATCTGCTGGGAGCTATGCAAAAAACGCATCTTCGCACCGGCACCTCGTGCGTTGGCCAATTATTTTTATGCGTTTTTGCATAATATGCAAAGACCACATATTGTGACGACTCCGGTGTGCGTATGTGTGTGTGCGTCTGTCCGGGCATTTCAACTCGGCACCCAAGCAAGCTCCGGCGCCAAAATTTTGGGAGATATCTTCACATTTATTTACTTCTAATAATATCTCTTATCACCAGTTAGTTAACTTGCTAGCGATCTTGGCGCTCGATTTTTCGTTTTGCTTCGTTTTTATCCTTTTCTCCTTTCCCCTACTCCCGTCCCTCCCAAAAAAAAAAAAAATGCTGGATATGGTACCCTCTTATCGTAGCTTATATGGCACTTTATGTTGCCGCAGGTGGCCTTCAAGTGTATAGATAACCGATGTTCGATGCTTACTGAGGTGCCCACTTGTAATTGACAAATAGCTTTAGTTTTTCTTAGCAACAATAATTAGTGAGGATTTGGAGATTAAAGTATCTAAATTTCAGTTGAAAGCGACCGGGAGCTAAAGTTAGCCTTTGATCTTGTAATTAATTCGTGCAAAAACTATCGCGGTTTGTTCGAATTTGCAACAGATCGGATTGATATGCGACGAGAGGCGTATTTGCGTAAGTCCTAATATTAACAGATAGTAATTGGCTTTAAAAACCTATACATAAAGAGACGAAACGAGCGTTAGAATCGCCAGCACACTGACCAATAGACAATGCAGCATTGGTCAAAGCAACTGGAAAAGTTTTCAAACGAATAACTGAAAAATCGGTGTAATAGCTCTTTGAAAGAGGATTCCCCATATCTTTATTCCACGATTTTCCGATGTTTTATCAACATAGGAAAATTACGGGCATTCTGTTTTGTGGGGGATAAAGCATGATATTTGAACGATAAAGATTAATGAGTTATGAAACGAGGGATATTGAGGTATGAGCGGGGAGTGGGGAAGAGAGGGGAAGAGGGAGGGGGTGAGAGTTTTTATATGAGTTTTGTGGCTAATTCAGACGCATTTCTGCGAAAAATTCAGTTTCATGGAATATCGTTTTGAAATCAGTCTAAAATTTCTTGCGCAAATCAAGAAGTTTCATTTGCTCGAAATTGGGGAGGAGGGGTTTTTCTCCGTTTTGTCCAGAAATTACAACAGGAATTTTTACTTTTTTTGCAGGAATCATCTTGTTTTTGCAGGAATCATCTTGGATGCTGTAGCAGTTTTGCAGGCAATGCTTATAGAACAGTATGAAGCTAAGACAGGTAAAATTGGTGATTTTGAGTAGTTGTAGTCATACTTTTTATGTCACAGTCGCACTTTTTTGCGCAGAATATGGGCCAGGAGGGAATCAGTCTTTTATTTTGCATCTGTGGATCTTTCGAGCCTACAAATCTTTGTGCTTCATATTCATCTCTTTGGAG